GGAGGTGAATTCCATGCAATCAATAGGATGAGTCCCAAGTATATGGAGTTAAGATTGCTTTTCGAGGGCCTTAACAGATGAGGTCACATGGCACACATTTCATTTTAAGTGTCAAATTAATGCTATCCATCAGAGAGGTGGGGAACTTGTAACCCTCCAGATGTTGTTGTCCATGTGATCCAGAAAGGTGTGTGTGTGTATACTTGTCTGCCTGGAATCCTAATTTTATATGTTATTTTAATATACACAAACACATGGGGCAATATTCTGTTGGTGTAAAGTTACACTGGCATAATAACCTTTTATAATAACCATTGAACTGCAGAGCCGGAAGGGGCCCTATGGATCATCGAGTCCAGCCCCTCTCAAGGAGACACAGTGAGGAACTGAACTCCCAGCCTCTGGCTCTGCAGCCACTGAGCTATCCAGCCGTTTGATCCAGCATAAACTGGAGCTGGCACCAGAATTAATTTAAATTAATTGAAAGATTTCTATTTCCTCCCACTTTCAGGTTCCAAGGCTTTCTAGCCTTTGGGAACCTCAACATAGGGGGTGGAGCCTTTAATTGTTGAAAATCACTGTTGCATCACTGCTAATGGTCCTGATCCTAGTGGTGGCAGTCTGGTGGCGTATTACTATTACTATTACTATTACGATTACGATTACGATTACGATTACGATTACTACTACTACTACTACTATATTACTGCTATTACTATTACTGTTACTGTTACTGTTACTATTAACTACTACTACTACTACTACTACTACTACTACTACTACTACTACTACTACTACTAGTAGTAGTAGTAGTAGTAGTAGTAGTAGTAGTAGTAGTAGTAAAGGCTCTCCCCTCATCTTGAAGCTCCCAAATACTTCTCCAAGGGAAAGGGATCTTCAGAACCTGAAAAGTAGGGGATAGGAAGCTTTCAGTTATTTTAATTATTTCCTGGAAATAATTAAAGCCTAGATCAGGCTTCTGATGATTTAAATTTATGCAACAGGATTTTGCTCACTATGTTGTAGCAGCGGATGTGTGCAGGAAACCTTCTAATATATTGCTGACGTACCTTTGTGCTCCTACCTAGAAAAATTTCTGCAAACTCCCTAGGGACCAACTCCCATCAGTCCCAGTCAGCCCAAATGATTGGTGGTCAGGAAAAGTGGAAAGTATAATCTAACATCTAGGAGACTGTAAGTTCCCCATCCCACACCTAAGTGTAGTTTTTTTCAAAAGTGAAGAGTCTATTTTTTGTTTGTTGTTTAGTTGTAAGTCATGTCCGACTCTTCGTGACCTCATGGACCAGAGTCTATAGATTGTTTATTTGTTTAAAATAGTGGGTGGTGGACATTTTTTCGGTTAAAGACCACACTCCCTTAGGCTAACCAATCCTAGGCTCAGTGTTGCTTGTGTATAGGGGGATAAAATTGTTGGAAAAAAGGTTTGAGACACTGAGACAAAATATAAATAATTATCTTTATCTAGTTCTCTTAGGAAAAGGGTAAACAGGACAACCTAAGAAAACAATAAAAGTACTAAAAATACGTTACAAAACATACCAAACAATAAAGGGAATGAAAGGCGGCGGCAGCTCAGGCAATGCTCACAAACTCAAGCAAGCACACATGGTCTCCGCCTCGCTCTATCAGTCAGAGCCATCAAAGGGTGAAAGGGGAGGGAGAGAGACAAAGCTTTATAGAACCTCATTGATTGTATGGGACATGTGAGGTCTTTAAGTATATTAACCCACAGTGGGTAAAATGTTATATCTTGCAATATTCCAACAAAAATAAGTGGGGGAAGCCTCTTCTTTTCTTTGTGACATCTCTCCATCTGCATGCATGCTCTCTCTCTCTCTCTCTCTCTCTCTAACTTTCCCCCCTTCCCTATTTAATATGTTTCAGGGAAGGAATATATTACCCTTGTCAGAAGTTTGGAAACTGTCATTTGCAGAAGGTTTTTAGAAATAGGTCAGAGGTGCCCAACCCTGATTTAAAGAGGTTGTTAACTTGTCTATTCTGGAAGGTGAGTGCACATGTGTGTTCCTCTATGTTGAGCAGCCTGCCAGAGCACTATGTACAACCAAATACAGACATTTAACATTGCCTAAGCCTAAGTGGTACTGTGGGTTGTGAACATCTTCTTCAAACCACTAGGTAATACTGTTAATTGAGCTGAAATTGGCTCACCTAGTGTGTTGCCTACATTTTATTCAATTTTATCTCATATGGCATTTGGCTTTATTTCCTACCAAAAAGGAACCTTGTGTTTCAGTGTAGGTCTATTGGGTTGGGGAATACTGAATAGCTGCCTAACCTTTGTCTAGCCAGAGTGGGAGAGAAGTTCTAATCTGCACCCCAAGAAGTAGAATCTGAAACTTTGACCTGAATCTACAGCCCCCCCATTTTGAATCTTTACTTATTGTATGAAATACGGCATTTCAATGCACAACATGAACTTGTTGAAATGCCATCTTTTCACAACTTCTGCAGAGTTCCTGTTCACTTGAATAGTTGTCCACTTCACTTGGTTGTGAATAAGTCCTACTGAAGCAAGCAAACAAAAAGTATTTCTTATGAATTCACCTATATCAGATCTCATATTTTTAAAATGATATTTCAGAGGAAAAACATGTCTAGAAACTTTTAATTAATGTGAATTGTTCTATAATTCATAGGAGGTCCTTGATAGGCAGGCAATATGATCCTTGCAGAATAATCAAAAGGAAATTCTTTAAAATGCTCTGATTAAAACTGAGATATCCCATAATCATAAGACTTCACTTTATTTTCTTTAAATATGTATTAAAACAATATAATTTCACTTTCCTTCCTGCAATGTAGATGTACATACTAGATTTCACTGCAAATTAGAAGGAAAAAACAAAACAAAAATGTCCATATTCTTTTGCTGTTGTCTAACAAGAAAAAATAATTTTATGAAACAGAAGCTAGCAAAAGTATAGTGACCATAATAACATCGGCATTTTAGAACAAATAACTTGCTTTCACCAAATTTAGGGAAACACAAGAATCTTGCCCTCACAACAACAAAGACATAAAAGCAAGCCATAAAAAGTACATTTTCTGTTTTTATTTTTTTTACAAAACTAAGAATCACAGCTTTAAATACTTGACTGAGCAAGGTTGTTGTTTTTAACAAACACCTGCAAATAACAGTTAAAACCTCAAACTCCTTACTGTGGAATAACATAAGGAATGTTCCAATCAGTTCTAGACATACTTACAGATAAAGTTTCAGGACTGCACAGTATTTAGCTGCCAACCAACCATCTGTATGCAGGATTGCAGTGAGAGTATTTTGTTTAGTACAGCTTTGATCAAAGTGTGATGGGTATGTGAATCCTAAATATTTGTCCTATTGATAACATCAGAGACTGTTTGGACATTAATGAAGAATGAATCCACACAGCAAGATATAGGTGGAGATATGCCATTATGATAAGTTAAATATTTTAAAGGTAGGTTAACTTGAAGGAAAAAAGATTTAAGTGCTATGTAATATTTCATTTGAGAGAAAACAAGGTTTCAGTGTTTTTAACCTTTGCTGAATTATAGTGTATACTTTCATTTCCTTTTATTTTAGATTCAGTAGATATTGAGTTCAATTAAGTCTGCTTCTGAGTAAGCTGGAAGTATTATACAATTATTTTTGAGATGTCTATGCCACTCTCTGATTATTCATTATGATATTATGGACCATGTTTTAATCAAGGATAATGAGCATGTTTGATCTCATCTTCAAAGAGGGGCAGCGGAGGACACAAAAATACACTTTTTCACAAATATAAGCATTCTTGCAAATGATAGCATACCCAAGGGATAAACTAGATCTATGTTATCACATATTTTTTATAAGAGAAGCTCTGTTAAGAGGTGAAAAATATTTATTATAGCACACAATTTTTCTCTAGTCCACATCTTGTGTTTATCATACTTTGGTTTGTAACTGTTCAATGCAGCAAGGCTTAATCTGCAGGTCAAATAATTAATGCATGAATTACTTAAGAACATCTACTGCTGAAGGAGAAATAGGCAGTTATAACAAATAAGCCTTACAAGTGATGTGTAGTTTGACCCCCAGATATGATAATTATGTGAAGCTATATCTGTCCTTGTGAATTTGTAAAGCTGACTGTGATCTAACTTGACAGAACAATGCTGCGATCAAAGCTGATGTGATGGAATGGTACTGCTGTACTGCAATTTTTGAACTTCTAAAAGTGGTGTCTATTTTAACAGAAAGAATATACAATTGGGGACCACTCCTGGCTATCTCTGCAAACAGAAGTGGCATAAATGGACCAGAGAATGCAGATTTGAAACAAATTCAAAAACAATTAATACATTAGATCAATAAATACTGTAGTATAAAAATCAACGCCACCATCCACTGATAAAATTGGTGATCCAGTTCATCACACCTTTTTTTTCCTCCAACTATGTATATCATACTTATTGACCAGCATTAGATATTTATAAACAAATACAAAAGGTTTCTTTTTCTGTACTGATTCAATAAGTATGTCCAAAAGTGAGGGAGATGCTGAGGAACTTCGAAGTTTCAGGGCCATACTTACATGTCAACAAATGTTTCAAATGAAGATATTGCCATCAGCAGAAATTTAAAAATTGTCTCTAGCTGTCAGCATAGAAAATTAGAAGAATTCATTTTCCTGGTCAAATTGTGACCCAAGGCACAAATCCCATTAACAATTCACTCCTCCACAAGAAAGGTTTCCCAATGGTAAGTTCTGGATTGTTCCGTATTTTTCCATGTATAAGGCACCCCCACTTTTCTAATCCAAAATTAAGAAATCTAAGTGGGGCTTAGCAAGTGTAGGGGGAAACGGATCAAAGTGCCACAGGGTCGCTTTGATCTCTGCTTTCCCCTCCACTTGTTTTTGTTCTCTCCTTAGCTTACTTCTGTGTATAAGACGACCCTCAATTTTTAGTCTAAACATTTTAGACAAAAGTATAATACATGAAAAAATACGGTAATTTAGCATGATGTTTCTGATGAATTAAAGCAATAAAATATATCAATTATCAGTCTATTGTTGAAACAATAAATCCTATCTGATCCACATTAACTCATGTTGAAGAGCTTGTTTAGAGCCTATTTGCAAGGATAACTGTTTAAATCCTTACATGAACATTTATTGGGTAGAGTGGAATGGTCTAAATGTTTCATATTGAATGCAGTTTTTGTGATTTAGGAATCCTATAGGGAGGCCAGCAAGGAACCAATCTCAACATTGTCCTTGTATAAACTGCACAATTTTAGGATTAACAGATCAGCAAAGGCTGATCTATTAGGTCCTGGTGATTTATTCATTTTCATATTTTTAAACATAGTGACCAGACTCCTTTTGGAGGTTTATGCTATTGTAAGTGTAACTGTAAATCAATGCAGGAAATTTTCACTGATTAACAAATCTCTGCTTGCATTTCTGTTCATGCACCAAGTTGTGTGGCTATTCATATGCAAATATGCATTGCAGAAATTAGCTAATGGTCTATAGAAATGGATTTTCCACATCCTTATGGTGGCTAAAAGATTGCTATTACAAAACTGGAAGGATAAATGCCGACAGAATTGTATCAATAAACACTGGAGTTGTAAATGATTTCATGTTATTTAACTATGTCAGGGGCAATATTGTGCAAGCCATTAGGAGACAGAACGGCTGGTGCTTCAGGGATGTAGCAGGATGATACCAGTGATTTATGCGACCAGGAAAAGGGTTTTACAATGAGACAGGCATGGGCAGCTTATGACTAGAGAACAGGAATTGGGAACTTCTTTCAGTTTGGAAACCTGACTGTCATCATTTCACTTTGTTCCTAAAGCTGGGACTTTATCCCCCATCATCCCATACCACTGGTCCTTGTGGGTAAAGTGTATGAGATTTGCACTCCAACAACATCAGAAAGCCCACAGGTTGCCTACTCTTGTTGTAAAGCTTGCTGGAAAGTTCTTGATTTCTGTTCAAAGGCAGAAAATGCCTGTTCCATTGCTGTCAAAAAATCCTGATGTTATATATCTAAGGATGGCACATTAGCCATTACATGTAGCAAAATGAATGTAATTCTAAAATATAGCAGCTTCAATAGAATTTAGCTCTGTGGGCACCACAGCTATGAAGCATTCTTTACTTTTAAGTTTTAGGCCAGGCAGGCATAAACTCTAAGAAAGAATGGATCTGGTTTCACTCTCTGGTTGTTGCTGGCCATCCAGCTGGGTTATTTCCCAATGGGCAGGAAATTTATATCCTGGAGTGAGCCAAGCTACCCCCAAGAGTAGGTTTTGACTATGCAAAATCCATTCACACCTTTTGAAGCAATACTTGCATGGGGTTGGGGGTTGGGGAGATGCTTCAAATCTGGTGCAGTTCTCCTGGCAGGCTGAGTGAATTTAGTCTCTTAAAGAGTTTCACCTATTTTTAAAGGACACATGATAAAAATTCTGATCCCTTAATACTTTGGTATTCACAGTCCTCATATGTTCATTTAGTTCAGAGCAATGTTGTAGAAACATACTACGGGTATATACTAGTGGCTGGCTGCAAGATGATGATATTTTCGAAGCTGCTGCTGCAGAAGATACTCCATGCTCTATGAAACACATACATTATTGCATGTTGGATATGATTAACATTCCCATTCCCCAATCCTAGGAATTGTGGAGAAAAGTGGAGAAAATGATTTCCCCCCCCCTCAATTTTTTAGACTACAGCTCCCAGAATCCCATGGCCAGCAGCAGACTGTGAGATTCTGGAAGTTACAGATAAAAATTTAATAACTTTCCCATGCCGTATTATCACAGAGAAAAAATTAAGCTTGAAGAAGAAAAATGGGCCATACTCTTCCATGTTTTGTATGACATGCACATCACATGCCTTGCCAGTTGATGTCAACATTCTGGTTCCTGCAAATACATATTGAATGGAAAGAAACATTTATCCTTTTAGTTTTCTTTACTTCATGTTAAACTACTATAACTACCATTTTCTTGATTTTTGTCATCACAGTCACTAATCAGAATACACGTTTCTACAGCACTAAGTTCTCTTAAGTCACTAGAATGAGCTATCCAGCCTCAGCTCTTCAATTCTAATAGGGAACAAATAAGGCCTCACCTTAACAATTTATTGTAAAAATAAGTAATGAACAACTCTGCACATAAATTACTATTAATAACAATTATATTTTTGTTGCATAATACTAAGTCATCTTTGAGGTTCCACCTAACTGCAGCGGAAAGGGAGACGACAGCAAAGTCCACAAGTTGTTAGCAAGTTATTGTTTCTTGGCCTCAATTACTTATTTCCTGACCACTTTCCAGAATAAAGTTGGAACTTAAACCAGTGGGCTCAAGTGTGCCTAACTGTGTTGAACTAAGTCCAACAAGAATTGCCAAGCTCTTGCATGTGACGAGCAGTATCTTGTTGAGCTACCACTGCTCTACACTCCAAAGCTGCTAACATCATCATTTTAGCTTCTGCACCTATATCTAGACAATGGCTATAAAAGTGAACTATGTCTGAGGCCTTCAGGTAAACTCAATGCATTCACGTCTATTAAGGTCCTGTGAGTTGAATGAAACTTATTCTCAGGTGTGTGTAAGAGCCCTGCAAGCGCTCCAAGAGTTGCTGAATTCTAACTCCCTCACATTTGGCTACACTGATGATGGCTGATGGGAACTTATGTCCAACAACATCTGGAGGAACAAACTCCTCCCCAACTCCCAGCGTATAGGATCGCAACCTCAGACAAAATATTTTATTGACATACTTATTTGCATATCTATTGCTTTCAAAGCAGGGGTGAACACAGTAAAAAAGTTCCCCCCACCCTCACCTCAGTACACATGGATTTTTAGGGCTGTGGTGACAAGCAGGCATTCAACAAACCCACCTTTTACTCATACAGATACAAAAGTCACCTGTTGAATTTCTGCCTGCCAGAACTCCCATACTACTGTACTCTCTGGAACAACAATCTGCAGAGGAGAATCTCACGCAGTGAGCCTGGTCACGAAGGATGATTTGTAAGTGGCTGCAGAAAGTGAGACGCCCCAAATATCATTGTTTCTATTACTCACGACAAAGCAGAAAAGCATGAATAATAAGTTATTATTGACCACAATAAGAGGGCGTTTGAGGGTGAAGAGTTTAATGCACTCAAAGCGCGTCCAGCTGCCGCGGGGAGAGAAGGGTTCGGGTCTCCGCCAGGGTCCGACGGGCAGAAGGAACGAAGAAGGAAAGAAGGGCGAGCGGGGGGAAGAGGCGGGCGGAGGGGCGCCGCTCGCAGTGCCCGGCGGCTGCGTCCAAGAGGGGGGGGAAGGCTTGGGCGGGCTTTTCGGCTCAGCCTTTGAGGAGCTCGGTCTTGAGGCGGCTGAGGCGCGTGCCGTGGCTGCGGACGGTGAGGGCGAGCAGCTCGTACTTGTCCCGCAGGCCCGCCGAGACGGCCAGGGTCTCCTTGAGGAGGGCGCGCGCGTGCACGAGCATGCCCAGGAAGTCCTGGCCGAGGCGGCTCTCCTCGCGGCCCTCGTGCTCCTGGCCCTGCCGGAACTTGTTCTCCAGCTCGCCCAGCGACTTGTCCGAGTTGGCGTAGGCGTCGCCGATCTGCGTCGACTCCCGGCGCAGGTACTTGCCGTAGCTCTCCTCGCCGTCCAGGTCGTAGGAGATGCTCTTGCGGATGCCTTCCAGCACCCGCGCCGCGTCCTCGACCTGCCGGCCCAGGAGGGTGAATTCCTCGCGGAGCGTCAGGCTGGGCGCCGCCGGGAAAGGCAGCCGCTGGCCCTCCTCGTGGGCGCCCGCCGCCCCCGCCGCCGCGCAGCGCAGCCGGTCGCTCACCCTGAAGAGCAGCTGGCACTTCTCCGGGTCGTCGTTCTCCTCGTAGTCGCCGTCCGGCACGAAGTAGTGGTGGAGCGTCCCGTTGGACATCTCCGGGTAGAGCGGCCCGTCGAAGTAGCCGCGGCACAGGCTGGCCGAGCAGCCCAGCAGCCACATCAGGCGCAGCCCCAGCGGCATCCCGGGGGGCAAGGAGGCAGCCCGACGCCGGGCCCTCGAGTCGAAGGGCACGAAAGGGGCAGCGGACCGACGGGCGGGCGAGTCAAGGCCTCTTCTGGCCGCTGGCGCCCCGCGCGCGGAGCTTCATTGGGGACCCCTGGAAGCCGTGGCTCCCCTTGCAAAAGATCGCTCTCTCTCTCTCTCTCTCTGCTTCTCTCCTGCACCCGATTCACCCACTAGACGTCCTTTTTTCCGCGGGAGGGGGAGAGAGAGAGAGACAGAAAAGCAAACCCTAAGGAGGAGTTTTCCCTTCCAGCTTCCCCATTCCACCTTGACCACGTTCTTCCTCCTCCCTTCACTCTCTCCTCTCGTCCAAACAACGGAATTTCCAAGCAGAAACGGAGAGAAGAGAGGATACGTCCCGATTCTTTGTAGACCTTCCTATCTGAAGCAGCCGCAGGCGCTGCCTGCTCCTCTTTTCCTTCTGCATCTGGAGTGGTGGTAACGCGGGAGCTTGACTTTTGGCTGTAGGATCTCTCTCTCTCTTCTCTCCCTCTCTCTCTCCATCTCCCTCCTCTCAGATTACACCACTGGTCCCTCCACTTTTGCAAAAGCCCAAACACCAAATTTGGAAACAAGCCTTTTAGATCTCGTTGTCCTTATTCAAGCTATGGTAGCACCTCTCTCTTTTCTCTTCCTAGGACTTCTCCATTTGTCACACTCAGTTGGGGTAAAAAAAATAAAGGCATTGACATTAAGGTTAAAAGAAGGAAACATTGTGTGTGACCCAGAGCTGATTCTACTGGACAGGGCAAAAATCTTCCCACCCTGCTTTGGATGGAAGCAAAATGCCAGCAATATTTGCAGCAGAAATTCCAAGTAAGGAATTGATCATAAACTTTATGATGAAGGCAGCACAGTTTAAAATGTTTACAGAACAGTTAGAAATTGAGAAACAGCTTCATCAGGTTCCTTCCCCCCTTTTAAATGCAAGCTGTTTCCTTGAAATATGTTTCCCTTCATATTTCCTTTTCTGTATTTCACCTATTCAGGTTGAGTGCCACAGAAGAAATGAAATATATATGTTTAGAGATATAGCCTCCTTATTACAAAGTAAAGGTTTCCATACAGGAAAATTGATAGAGTGGGGAAGAGGAGAGGCTGGAACACTCAAGCATGTCTGCAGGATGATGAGAGACACTTAAAATCCAAACAGGCATAAGATGCTTTGTGTATGAAATTGTTTTTAATTGCTTCTGCTGTGCAGAGTTCATCACACTCTTGGAATCCCCCCCCTCTCTTTTTTTTTGGAGAAGGAGGGGACTGTGGCATCATAAAATCAGAGGGCTGGAGCTACAGGACACATGGTTCATATGAACAGGCACAGCCAACATCATCACTCAAGTGTTTGTATTAAATGGCTGCAGGTGGGCCCAACACTTTGTCCCCATCATCCCCCTCCAATGAGAATCCTCCAATCAGTCTGCGAGTACAATAGTGCCTTCTGAATAAGTGATACACAGAGACATACTAATAATACCTAGTTTCCATGATCAGTAGCTATGCATAGCTTTATATTCCATGAATTTGTCTAGTCCTCTTTTGAAGTCATGAAAGTTAGTGGCGGTTTTCTACATTTTGTGTCAGTACATGCCACAGTTTAATAATGCACAGAAAAAAACCTTCCTTTTCCCTCTCTTGATTCTCCCATCATTTAGTTTACGAGGATAACCCTAGGGTCTAGTATTGAAAGGAAAGGAGATCCCACTCTGGATCTATTTTCTCCCCGCCATGCATAATTATATACATGTATTATTATTACACTTATTATTATCAATCCTAAAAATCTCGAATACAGAATTTGCCCCTATCACACCATCAATATGTGTTACTGACATTTTTGCTGAGTTGTCATCACAACAATAAGATCTGGTTCAAATCTCAAGTCTTGAAGTTTCCTGGGTGTCTTTCGGTAGTCACTATAAAGGAGGGTGAAGTGGAGCCACTGGGACAGTGCTGAGCTCCCTGGAGAAAAGGCAGAATATGAATAAAATAAAATTTGCCAGGCATTGTATAGATATCTATGAAGACCTCCACTGGCATACTGTATGGAGTTATAGGAAACTTTGACACACATGACCTAATTCACACCATGTTGATTTGAATCCCATGAGTTTTTGTGTTTTGCATATGTACAGGGAGGCCATGGAAAATGCCCTCTGTATGCAACCAAATTGGTTGTTGGCTTAAGCATAAGTCCATTGACTCTAAAATGAACCTATACAATTTAGTGACTGCTCTGGAATGAGGGTGGATTGCCACCTTTTTTTCCAGCCAAAAAAGTAAACAGAAAGAGTGGACACATTAACTTCGATAGGAAGAAACTGGCAAATAAACTTTTCTAGGAGGAGCATTTTAATAAAATGTTTATGAGAAGTGAAAAATGGTTGCTTGGTTCTTCCAAGCAATAAAAGTGGACAGCCATTCTGTGTGCCACTATGATTGATTTCTGCTATGAAATCATGGGGAAATCATGCTTAGCTTGAACTAAGAGTGGTCTGATTGTTTCTTTTACCTTGGTGGAATGGGAGTGTGTTCTTCTTCCCTTGCCATGTTTTAAATAGCTACTAGAATATTTCACAGTTTAAGAAGAGAATGTCAACCTCTACTTATGTTGAAGGTTTGGATCCACTGTGGCATCCTCAGGAAAACACGAAAGCACCAGGGTCATGGTTTGGCCCTCACCTATTTTTTTTATTTGTCTGCATGTGTGCTGAGTGCTAGTTATGTATTGCATTACCTTCTAGTAAATGTAAATAGGACTGGCAAACACAGTCATGTAACATCAAACTGTGGTCTTACCACTGTTATTGCTAAGACCTGACTGACTGTTGGTGATCCAACTAATAAAATGAGTGGAGTGGAGTCTTTTAGACCTGCTTTGGAGGCACTGGGGGAGGCAGTTTGCTAAGAAGTCCCCTAAACCTAGAATTTGCCCTTAAGAAACTATTGTTATGAGGAAGATGGATAGCGGCATTTGCTTGGAACCATTTTTTAAATTGGAAGTCTAATAAAAAGTGATGAAATTTGAAATTAGTAAGCATCACCAGTGTAAGTGAAACAGTATTTCAAGACCAGTATACATAAAAGACTATTGGCTATATTGCCATATCTTTAGGCACCAGACTTTGCAAGGTGCAGCAGAAAATTGGTGAAGGTGAATGTTCTCAAGAGAGCATTTCTGAATTCAAGCCTCACCCATATTTGGAAGGCAAGTAGTGCTTTCCAGTGAGTCAGAAGGTGATTTGAAAGCAGAACCTTCCATCTCTTTATTTCTCAAAGGTCTGAGCCTACAAAAACACTCTGATGACCTTTAACAATCTGGTCAGCTATTCCAGAAGGGCTGGAACAACCACACTACAAATCAGAGAGAAGGGGAATGGCCTACTTAAAGGCCATTCCCCTGCAACAACTAATTCTAGTAGTGGAAGAGTAACCTGGAGCTATCCATGGTCCTGCTTCAGGTGCCATTTCTACAAGGGACATCTGACTTATCTTGCTGTGCACAATGACCATACTTTAACAGGATTTACTTATCTGACACAGCTTTGCTTACCTAAACATGTCTGCTCTATCTGCTCTGGATATTTCTTCTACCTGCCCCTGACAAATGCCTCTGGTTTACCTCATTAGACTCAGATTATCCCAGAACAGGGCAGACATGAGCCACCCTTGTCATTTAGAGGCATACCTGTCTCATGTATCCTGTTTATGAAAGTATGTTTGGCTGGAACACAAGGAAGATATTTTCCTGTGCTTGAACCTAAAGTTATGGGACTATGCCCAGGAAGATCTGTTACATCTCTGCTTTAATGATTTTGTGCCTTCTCTTAGAAACATTTATTTTTGCAGGTGTTTTCAGTTTATCTGCCTGGCTTGATTGCAATTTTATATGAATATCTGTTTTCTTTCAAGTTATAACTGGTTGTTTTAATTTTGTCTGCATAATTTTTATATTGCAGGGAACCATAAGTACTGTTGGATGGAAAATGAAGTTTTCTTTTGCTAAATACAGTGGTGCCCCACTAGACGATTACCTCATTGTACGACGAATCCGCTGTACGTGCCTTGCTTGACAATGGTAATCCATTCCAGTGAAATCGCTGTAGAGCGAAATCGTCATCAAGCGAAATTAAAAAGCCCATTGAAATGCATTGAAAAACTTTCAATGCGTTCCAATGGGCGAAATACCTTATCGTAAAGTGGAGATCCTCCATAGGGTGGCCATGTTCTGCTCCCTGTAGAGTGAAGAATCTGTCCCTAACACAGCGGGGAGCCAGTTTAGAAACCCAAGGATCAGTTGTTTTGATTGTTGTTAAGCAAAAAAAGGTTACCGAAGCAGGGAACTGATCAGCGCAAACTGGATTTTCCCCATAGACACATCATTTTGCGATCGCAAAAAACTCATCGTACAGTGGATTCGTCGTACAACGAGGTAACTGTCGAGCAGGGCACCACTGTAAAACAATGACAGTAGAAATAGGCATTTCCCCAGTTCTGCTTGAGCATTCAGGACTAAGCTATGCCTTATAGATAGCACATCATTAGACACTGAAATCTGTTCATGTTCCAGAGATGTGACTGAGTGATCATAGAGCTTGCCACACATTGACCAGTCACAAAACAAATCAAGCTAACTTGCAAACTATAAGACATGTGGAAATTTTCTGCTGTGAATATCAGATATGCTCAGTATTAAAGCAAACCTCCCTTCTAATGATATATTACCTGTAACATATACAGTAGGTTGGCTCTCAGGTTACTCTTAATCATTAGCTACGTAGATAGCTCAGTGAGTTAGCTATCAGGTTGGGAATTCAATTCCTCATTGTGCATCCCAGAAGAGCCAGCCCGTGTAGCCTTTAGCAAGCTGCACAGTGACAGGATGCCCCCCAAAAAGTGAAAGCTGAAATACTTCTGTGTACTTTCTACCCAGAAAACCCTGAAAAGGGTTTCCGTAAGTCAGAAATGACTTGATGATAGACAATTATTATCATGACTCTTAACCATCCAGTAACTGTTGCTGTTGACACTATGTCTTTGCAAGTAGACCAGACCAGATGGGCGGGATATAAATCAAATAAATAAATGAATGAATGAATGAATGAATGAATGAATAAATAAATAAATAAATAAATGAATAAATAAATAAATAAATAAGCAAGCAAGCAAGCAAGCAAGCAAGCAAGCAAGCAAGCAAGCAAGCAAGCAACACAGATATCCCTATTCTAAAACCATTCAAGCAGACGCTATATTAGGAACAAATGCAATTAAGGATCTTTTCTTTTCTTTTCTTTTTAGTTTAGTTTAGTTTAGTTTAGTTTAGTTTAGTTTAGTAACCCATGTCAATTAGTAACCAGACTGAAATACCTACATTTCTATTAAAAACACTTATTTTGCCAAAATAACTGAATCGATGCTTATCCTGGAGTTTAATTTAATGATGGAACAGTTAATTCATTGGTTAACAGGGAGATAGACAAAATGTGAATCTGCAGCCACAGGCTATATTTTCTAGTTAGTGAGATCTTCACTCATCATATCCCTGAAGCCACCCAACTTTCAGCCTTTCCTCCAAATATTATAAAATCACACAACAGCATAACATCAGTGGCATGTTTAGGCTTAGAAGAAGCTTAGAATGAAAGAACCTCTAGACCAAAGCATTCGAAGATGCCTGCCACATTGCTGAAACTGGACCTATAGTTTATTATTTTATTTCCACTTCTAGTCAATGATATCACTGAAACCAGCCATTAAATAATCATTTCCAGTTCTACTGATCAACATATCTGGCCTTTTACTTTAGTAGTGGCTTGCCTTTTACAGCTATGACAATCTTACAAATTTCTTCTTCTGTTTCGTGTTGTTAGAACAATTGTTCTTCAGTGAAAAAGAAGAAATTACAAGTACTTTACTTGTCCATTCAGGATTCAGCACAAACACACACAAAAATTATTTTTAAAAGGCCAAACTTTACACTTAAAGGCATAATGACTTAGAAATGCAGAGCATGTAATGCAGGTAGACACAGAAATGGGGGCAGCTAGGTTATTGTAGACCTTAAATTCAACAGTCATGCAGATAGTCCTATAAATTGCTATTGGTAGAATCCAGTTAATTACACCAACCCACATGATTCAATCAGCATACATTTCAGTTGCAAATTGGCACAGGTTGAGAAGTCAGCATTTGTTGTTGCATATAGAGTCATGCAATAAGGAACACAATAGCAAATGCCTACACTGACTTCTGTACTTGTGGCAGTTTGCCACTGAAATTTATGCTGAAGGAGTTATACTGACATAAATACACAATAGGATTCTGGCCTATATGT